TAGGGAATTGGATCTGTATTCCAGTTACCTGAATTGAGCATGAATGCCTTCCATCCCCCCCCCCCCTCATAGGTTCTATAACCCTACAGGTTTAGCACTCCCCCATGATTATAATATTTTCATGAGATGGGAGACATTTCAGTGCATATAACCTTAAATGTATGACAGAACTTTAATTGGCAAAGGCAATGGCTAGTAGTTTGAGAACTTAAGCACAAGGTGATCCATATGGGTTTAGCGCTTAGTTATGATTCCCCTCAAGGAAGGCTCCTTGATGCTGGTGAGGGGCTCTTGATCTAGGGAATTGGATCTGTGCTCCAGTTCCCTGAATTAAGCCTGAATGCCTTCCATCCCCCCATAGGCGCTGTATAATCCTACGGGTTTAGTGCTTCCCCCTTGATTATAATAATAATTAGTTATGATTATAATTTAAACTGCTGGCCTATGCTAGGTCCAGCCCACACCAATCACCTATTTATTTGCCTGTCTAACCTACATCTAAAGTTTTTGCCTGAATGCTACCTGGTAGTTTGTTCTACTCATCTATGACTTCCTAAACTAGTATTTTGCAACATCCTTTCTAAATCTCTAAAGAGATCTAAATGAGCACTTGAGACAAAGTGACACCAGTCAGTGTTGTCAAGCATCTCGCCCCTCAAGGAGGTTCCTTGAAGGCCCGTGGCCTGGTGGTGAAAGCTCTCGCTTCACATGCTGACCACTCGAGGGAGGTTCCTTGACGTTGGTGAGGGGCTCTTGATCTAGGAAATTGGATCTGTGCTCCGGTTCCCTGAATTGAGCCTGAATACCTTCCATCCCCCCCCTCACGTGCGCTATATAATCCCATGGGTTTAGCGCTCCCCCATAATTATAATAATCTATACATCATGAGGTTTAGCGCTTTGTTTTGATTATAATTTATATACCATGGGGAAGCTTACATGGGCCCCACTGTGTCTACAAATGCAGTTTTTCACAGCTGAGTCCCACACCAGCGTGACTGTATTGAATTCTAGCCCAAGTCCCATCAAAGCCAACTAGCTGGCCAAGTGGTTAACGCACTGGCTGTGATATATACGCCTCGCTTCCCATGGATTTAAACCCCACTCGCTCCCTGATTAGACTCCTTGATACTAGTGAAGGGCTCTTGATTCAAGGAATTGGCCTAGTCCTCCCATTCCCTGGATCAAACCTGATTTCCTCCCACTCCTCAGGCGCTAAATGTTTATTCCTAGCAAAGCTTACAATCTATGGTTTACATATTATAAAATATTAATTAGAAGGAAGGCCTCTAGCATACCTAGTTATAGAGCAGTACATTTTAATATATCTTATTGCATATTAGGTAACAAGTAATTGATCAGATTTATTATAATGAGGTAGTACAAAACATAACACTAGCATCTAATAAATGAATAAAGGTGAGGGTTTGCAAGTTTGAGTTAAGTTTACCTTGGTAGGAGACAGGTGCTGCTGTGTTTACCTGGAGTGGGTTTCGTGTGTCAACGCCCCTGCAGCTCGGTCTGATTATTATTATTATAATCAAGGGGGAAGCGCTAAACCCGGAGGATTATACAGCGCCTGGGGGGGGGGATGTGGAAGGCATTCAGGCTTAATTCGGGGAACTGGAGCACAGATCCAATTCCCTAAATCAAGAGCCCCTCACCAACATCAAGGAACCTTCCTTGAGGGGAGCTCGGTCTGAGATCAGGCCTTTTATACACAATATACATACACCAGAGATATGTATATACACTGATGTGTATTTCAGTGTATATACCTCTACATAAAAGTTTATTTAAAACCTTGGCGCTTAGTTTTCATTATAATACATAATTTAAAACTTACTTTTGAGAGTGCCATTGACTGATGGCTTTAATCAGAGCGCTAAGCCCATATGGGTCAACGCTTGAGGAATGGAAGGTAATCAGATATGATCCAAGGAAGTGGAGTGTAACTTAAACTCCTTTGATCAAAAGTAACAAAAGTCGGAGTATGAGAAAGTTAGCACTTGGATACCTTGAGATACAGGTAACATCTCAGTGAATCTGATCTTACATTTGACCTTGAGTACAGGTTGGTGAGGGACTCTTGATTTAGGGAATTGGATCTGTGCTCCAGTTCCCCGAATTAAGCCTGAATGCCTTCCACATATCCCCCCCCCAGGCGCTGTATAATCCTCCGGGTTTAGCGCTTCCCCCTTGATTATAATAATAATAATAATTGAGTACAGGTAACATCTCAGTGAATCTGATCTTACATTTGACCTTGAGTACAGGTAACATCTCGGTGAATCTGATCTTACATTTGACCTTGAGTACAGGTAACATCTCAGTGAATCTGATCTTACATTTGACCTTGAGTACAGGTAACATCTCAGTGAATCTGATCTTACATTTGACCTTGAGTACAGGTAACATCTCAGTGAATCTGATCTTACATTTGACCTTGAGTACAGGTAACATCTCAGTGAATCTGATCTTACATTTGACCTTGAGTACAGGTAACATCTCAGTGAATCTGATCTTACATTTGACCTTGAGTACAGGTAACATCTCAGTGAATCTGATCTTACATTTGACCTTGAGTACAGGTAACATCTCAGTGAATCTGATCTTACATTTGACCTTGAGTACAGGTAACATCTCAGTGAATCTGATCTTACATTTCCTTGCCTTCAGTCCTGCAAAATCATCTATCACATCAAAATCAATTATTTTCCCTATATAGGTCTATTTGTACTCTGTAATCCTATAATAGGCTACATAGAAACGAAGGATTTTCTCTTATGTTGGTGCAGCACTGTTTTGTGCATTAGTGTCACCTTCTTCAGAGGCTCTATGGTGTCACCCCCTAAATGGTGTCACCCGGGGCAGCCCCTTCCCCTAGCTGGCGAAACGTTTCCAAAATAAAGATTTACCCAAATGTTGCACGTGTCTCATTCAACAGAGAATAATAATGAGACGACGGAACACACGTTCCCTCCTTCGTCCATCCATCTACACACTTTTCCTCCTTCACGGATGGAAAAATGAACACAAATGCAGTAGAATGTGATCGTTTATTGACAACGTTTTGACCACACAGTGGACTTTTTCAGGTCACTGCAGTGAAGTGTAACTGAACGAGCAACAATGGAGATTAGTTCCAGGTATACTGCTAAAGGACCCCAATGGAAATAAGTAAAGAACCCCAATGGAAATAAATAACAAAAAGGCACAATACCGTGACTGGAACGATACACAAATAACCCGCACATAAAAGAGAGAAGCTTACGACGACGTTTCGGTCCGACTTGGACCATTGACAAAGTCACACTGGAAATAAGTCAGTCTGACTTTTTCGGGCCACCCTAAGTTCTCTACACATATGCTGTTATGTATGATAATCTATGTAACTGTATTTATGTATACCTGAATAAACTTAGGAGGGCGGACCCCTCAAGGAAGGCTCCTTGACGCTGGTGAGGGGCTCTTGATCTAGGGAATTGGATCTGTGCTCCAGTTGGATCTGTGCTCCAGTTCCCTGAATTAAGCCTGAATGCCTTCTATCCCCCAATAGGCGCTGTATAATCCTACGGGTTTAGTGCTTCCCCCTTGATTATAATAATAATAATTAGGAGGGCGGCCTAGTTCACCTCATGAGTTGCACTCCTGTGCAAAGAAAGGTATAAAATACCGACAATATGAAAGTTAAGACACATGTGCAACATCTGGATATCTTTATTGTAGTAGACGTTTCGCCATCCAGTGGCTTTATCAATACAGATTCTAGGACATAATAGGAAGACAGTAGAACTATATACAAAAGATGAGGTAATCAGTCCCTCGGCCTTGGAGTTAGTGTTAGTGTTCACGATGCTGTGAACACTAACTCCAAGGCCGAGGGACTGATTACCTCATCTTTTGTATATAGTTCTACTGTCTTCCTATTATGTCCTAGAATCTGTATTGATAAAGCCACTGGATGGCGAAACGTCTACTACAATAAAGATATCCAGATGTTGCACATGTGTCTTAACTTTCATAGTTGCACTCCTAACTTCTCCCAAGATGCGACCCACTACAGCTCCCAGGTACCTGCTTACTCCTAGGTAAAGAGAAGCCACAGATGTAAGCAGGTGTGTCCATGGCCTCCACCTACCACAGGATCGAATTCGGGTTCTTCGGTTGTGAGCAGAAGGCAACCTCGCAACCAAACTACCATTCAGCATACGGTCAAGCTACCAACTAGCTAACCAAACAACCAGCTAATTAACCAACCAGTTAGCTGACCAATCAACAAATTTATAACTATCTGACCAACCAACCCACCAGCTAACTTACCCAGCAATTAAGTAGCCATCCAACTAACTAGCTAACCTATTAACCTGTTAAATAACCAATATCTATTACATGACGTTATTTTATAGGAGTAAATGATATGTAAAAGTGTTTTTTTTTTAATTATCAGCATCACAAAGGGCCTCTGTGATTAGCTGTCACATGACATATTATCATCAGTATAGGAATATCATTAGATGATTAAACGGAATGTATAAAATCGTGTGAAATCCTACATTTCTTCAGCGGATGATTGCATGCACGAATATAGCCTAATAATATTAATGTGATTTTACCAGACAATATCATATAATTATTTGAAAAAGGCTGATTATATTTTATAAACGTGAAATCAGGTAATTCTTCAAAGCATGGGTATTTACTTCTCATCAGGTAAAAAAAAATACTAATATAATACAACACCAATCGATTTAGTACTCATCTACTGTATAATTAGTCAGGAAAACGTATGCTAAGTTAGAATTTGGTAATATAATATAAAGCGGGAGTGTGTGGGGGTGGTGTAGAGGACCGGATCCTCCCAGCAAAACACCCACCGTAAACACGGGAGAAAGACCTGTCACCCAGGCCAAATATGCTAGCAAATTAGTCCCTTTTTCTCGCCTACACACCTATACACCCTATTTTTTTTACTTCGGGTATGTATGTAATGGTCTTACCCCACGAGTCATAAGGTGTTCCATCTGCACATGTTTGGGCTGAGGTTTTATCTTGTAATCAACAATCTGCTGGGATGACAGCCAGTGGCTGCTTCTGAGAGCTCAGGTTACTGTCAGCTGCTGTACCTTAATCTCGCTAACTTGTTGATGCTTATTCCCTCTCTCCACCGTTTGGTAAGTTTTATGTATTGTACATGCTGTGTATTAAGGTATTTATTGTTAAATTGAGTGTTAAATACGTGGGTACATAACCTCTGGTCTCTCACTAAGGAAGTAGTTATCTCTGACTGTGTAGTGTTTTATCCAATATTTTGTAAATATATCTTTAATGGTGCCAGAGAGAGAGTTGAAAAAGTGGCTAAATATGTTGCAATGGTTCTGTTTAAAACCTAATCACTTGCTGTTTCAATAAAGTAGATGTGACTTTATGATAATCTTGAGACTGGTTTATTATTTGATATTTGAGGAAATGGACCTCTCAAGGAAGGTCCCTTGATGCTGGTGAGGGGCTCTTGATCTTGGGAATTGGATCTGTGCTCCGGTTCCCTGAACTGAGACTGAATACCTTCCATTCCCCACCCCACATGCTCTGTATAATCCAACGGGTTTAGCGCTCCCCCATGATTGTAATAATAATAATGAGAAAATGGACAAGGATGCAGACATTTAAGATATTTTAAAAGGAAAAGGCTTGGGGCTTATGCCACTCCAAAGAATATATAAAACAGTACATATAACATAGATAACAGGTGAGGTAAGAGTTCACATCAAGTATAAGCATTGTCAGATGAAGTTTAAACAAATATCAGGTCAGGTTTAATGCACATGGAAGTGAGGTCACCTGATTGCTGTGTTGCAGTGCAGGTGTGGCAGAAGGTGGAGATAGTATAGCTATCTGCTTCCTGCTCAGTGGTGTTAGGGGGAAAAAAAGAGTCTTCTAAACACCAAAGTCTTTTTAAATCTGGTTCGCCTTCAGTGTCCTCTTGGACAATACAAGAGTTTCTTTAGCCACCATGAGGCCTGGTCACAGACCAGGCCGCTAGGGCATTGACCCCCAAAACCCTCTCCAGGTATCCCTAATGCACACATACTTGCTTTTACTAAGCTTGGTTTATATATTTCTTCCAGTTTCTCCTATGTACATTATTTCTTATCACATATTCTGAATGAAATAGTAGTGTACACTCCAGTCCCAGAAGCCGATTGAAGAACAAAGGGTCGCTTCTTGATAAGGTCTTTGATATAAGTCGTGGCAGTAGTAGTATGGAGCCTGTGTGGTGTTATCAGTCATGTCACCACATGATAGAATTAAGAATTACTTATTGATCCTCGCAGTGGGAGTGTTGTGTAGGATAGTCCACACACTGTATCTGCAGTTCTGGACACAGCAGTATGGGAAATTTGGTTAAGGGAAAGCTTGAAATATGTAAGCACATTTCTCCTTGAGAAATTCTGGGCTGGAAATCTGGAGTACCCTTAACCCTTAAACTGTCCAAACATAGATCTACGTTTTTTTCAACATTTGAAAGTATGTAAAAGAACGTAGATCTTCTTTTTTTTTTTTTTTACATTTGAAAATGTGTAAAAAACTTTGATCTATTTTTTTTTTTCTTTTTTTTTTTTTTTTTGAAAATATGTAAAAAAACGTGGATCTGCTTTTGGAGCACTATGCATGTCAACATAAATTTGTTTGGACAGTTTAAGGGTTAAGAAGAAACCAATAACTGCTACTCACTTGGTATGAGTATAGTAGTGAAAATAGAAGCTTTGTTAGATCATCCTTGTTGGTGGACTCTCTCTCCACCTTGAAGGAAAGTTCAGTGTAGAGCTACAAAATGTATCCCAGGGATAAAAAAAAATACATAAAATTAAAGGCTGAAAACACTAAAGATGCCCACACTGGTTGATAAGAAGGCAAGAGAGACATATGATAACATACAAGGTTATAAAAGTACACTATTTTAAAAAAATAAAAAATAAAATTTTAGTTCATTACCTTCTTTAGGGATACCAAGAGCCCACAAACAGAAATTAAAAAAAATAGAGCTGAAGGGATAACAGGAAGTTTTTCTTTACAAATCGTGTGGTAGAAGAATGAAATAAATGAAAAGAGGTAGTAAGTGCTACAGCCACAGGAAATTTTAAGAGGTTATATGATAAACATATTAATGAAGATGAGACACCACAAACTTAACTCTGTTCCTGTAGCTATAAATAGATCATTACTATGTATATCTTGGGATTACAGTATATACTGTGCATTACTGGACACTACTGTAGCAAATAGATCATAGGAATTAAAAAAAGATGACTTGTGTAAAATTTTGATATAGAATACTTGTCATCTTTGTGCATAAACTTAATATGGCTAAGTGTTAGTGGCAAAATTTTACATATGGTGCCATATTTAATTGTGCAGTAATGAATATCTGGTTTAAGAGATAAGTTTATTGAATATATCGTATTGCTTAAGACCAGTCAGGGTTATGTTAACAAACTACATTGTAAGAATTAATTTTTACACATGACAGCAGTTAATTTATAAAGTCTCTTATGACTAAATGCTAGCTGTCATGGAAGTATTAGTAAAATGAACATTTTAATGCATTTTTTATGTAGTCTAACAGTTTCTTGTTTTGTACAGTGTGGTGGGCTGAACCATGGGGACAAATAACCAGGATGTAGCATGTTACCTGGTTACTAAACATTCAGTATGGAAGGGAAAGTGAGTGCAATATCCCAGTTATGGAATTATAAATTACTTATGTGTACATATTATTGTTGGAACAATTCTTCATACAGACTACTAAACATTTTTAGTTACAACCAAATAGCTCTCTGATAATGTAATTTACTATTAAGCAGGATAGCTATTAATGCACAGAAAACTATTCTAGATACAAACGCATCTTCAGTGTGGGAAATGCAGGCATTACCACCTACAACCCAGGTAGTATGGAGGTGACAAACCAGTGGTACTACCATGATTTTATTAACATAACTCCTGCCCTTAAGGGTGTTGGTCAAGTAAGCATTAATTTTTATGGTACTTTAGTTTATTAGTGTCAGTTTTGCCCTGCATGTTAATGCATTTTTGTTCAAATCTTCCTTGATCTGATTGCTTAGTGTTTTGTAATGACTATATTTACAATCTTATTCTGCCCTTAACAATATTTATTTTAACCATACCATCAAATGTTTTTGTAATATTCATAATGATTAAACATAATAGTAAGCATCACTTAGTTTTAAAATATTGTAATTGCCTGTCTAAGCCTTATGAATTCCTGCAGGTTCCTAATGAATTCATGATAACCATGAAAAAAGGCAAAAAAGTGGACCATATGCGCTTTTCGTCTGACCATCGGACAGACATTATCTCAGAGGCTCTTGTGTTCAGGCACATTTTTGCTGAAGGAATCATTGATAACCTGGTATGCTTTTGCATATTTATTGTTTTATTTACCAGTAATAGTTATAGGTTGACTTTCCTGTAACATCTGTTTTTTTTATTTTTCCTGATTGTATTATAATTTCATCATTTTATTTGGATATCTGCAACTTTTAATTATACTGTACTATTTTAGGCACATTGTTTCTGTTGTACCATAAATGGGGAATGATATTTTCACTTGGGTAGATGCAGACTCTTACTCTTATATGAGGTAAGATGAGTGTAATTCCCAATAAAGAATATTCAGATTTAATATTTTTTCATGTGTAGGAAATACAGCAGAATAAGGTCATAAAACAGAATAAGGTAACATTATGAAAGCTGCATGTGTATTAATTTTCTTAATTTAGTTTTCTAGTGAAATTTTCATCTCTGCTCACGTCTTCATATACTTTTGCCATTGTGTGCATTAAATTGTCCTATACTTCATTAGTAAAATAAAATTAATTTACTGCATTAACACTCAACAGCGAGCCAATGCACAGAAGGTCCACTGGTCAGAAGCAAAAATCCCAGTTATTTTAGAAGTTACAGCTTGCTCTGTTGATCAGCTTGATGCTGGCACAGGGACTCCTCTTGCTTCCTACATGTTCAAAGATATAGAAACTCTTGTCCCAGTGTCTGACATCCCTGGTGGTTTGTGCATTCAGGTGAGACTTTTCTCTTGTGCTGCTTATTGACTGTACTGCTTCTGTTTTGTTTTTAAAAAATTAAATCCATTCTTTTTTTAACTTTTATTTTTGTAAAGTTAGCCTCATTCTTGGAACAGTATTTTTAAAACTGTTCCTAATGATCAGTTCATTTTTATGAAATTCTGGATAACTATTGCTAAATCTGTATATTTTAAGCTTCACTCTCCATAATTAAATCCTAAAGACCACTTAAGAGTCTTAAGTGGATCATTCTTTATTTCTGTTTAACTTTTTTTTTTTTTTTTGCATACTTGTAAAGTGTCTCAGCTTAACATATATACACAAGCAGACAATTGATGGCTTGTGTCATCAAAACAATTATCTCTGATAATTGAGCTAGTAACCCCTTCTCCTGTAGACATTTACTAAAAAAGAGAAGAAGAAAAACTTTATAAAACTGGGATGCTTGAATGTGCGTGGATGTAGTGCAGATGACAAGAAACAGATGATTGCTGATGTTATGAATGAAAAGAAGTTGGATGTCCTGGCCCTAAGCGAAACAAAGCTGAAGGGGGTAGGGGAGTTTCGGTGGGGGGAAATAAATGGGATTAAATCTGGAGTATCTGAGAGAGTTAGAGCAAAGGAAGGGGTAGCAGTAATGTTGAATGATCAGTTATGGAAGGAGAAAAGAGAATATGAATGTGTAAATGCAAGAATTATGTGGATTAAAGTAAAGGTTGGATGCGAGAAGTGGGTCATAATAAGCGTGTATGCACCTGGAGAAGAGAGGAATGCAGAGGAGAGAGAGAGATTTTGGGAGATGTTAAGTGAATGTATAGGAGCCTTTGAACCAAGTGAGAGAGTAATTGTGGTAGGGGACCTGAATGCTAAAGTAGGAGAAACTTTTAGAGAGGGTGTGGTAGGTAAGTTTGGGGTGCCAGGTGTAAATGATAATGGGAGCCCTTTGGTTGAACTTTGTATAGAAAGGGGTTTAGTTATAGGTAATACATATTTTAAGAAAAAGAGGATAAATAAGTATACAAGATATGATGTAGGGCGAAATGACAGTAGTTTGTTGGATTATGTATTGGTAGATAAAAGACTGTTGAGTAGACTTCAGGATGTACATGTTTATAGAGGGGCCACAGATATATCAGATCACTTTCTAGTTGTAGCTACACTGAGAGTAAAAGGTAGATGGGATACAAGGAGAATAGAAGCATCAGGGAAGAGAGAGGTGAAGGTTTATAAACTAAAAGAGGAGGCAGTTAGGGAAAGATATAAACAGCTATTGGAGGATAGATGGGCTAATGAGAGCATAGGCAATGGGGTCGAAGAGGTATGGGGTAGGTTTAAAAATGTAGTGTTAGAGTGTTCAGTAGAAGTTTGTGGTTACAGGAAAGTGGGTGCGGGAGGGAAGAGGAGCGATTGGTGGAATGATGATGTAAAGAGAGTAGTAAGGGAGAAAAAGTTAGCATATGAGAAGTTTTTACAAAGTAGAAGTGATGCAAGGAGGGAAGAGTATATGGAGAAAAGAGAGAGGTTAAGAGAGTGGTGAAGCAATGTAAAAAGAGAGCAAATGAGAGAGTGGGTGAGATGTTATCAACAAATTTTGTTGAAAATAAGAAAAAGTTTTGGAGTGAAATTAACTAGTTAAGGAAGCCTAGAGAACAAATGGATTTGTCAGTTAAAAATAGGAGAGGAGAGTTATTAAATGGAGAGTTAGAGGTATTGGGAAGATGGAGGGAATATTTTGAGGAATTGTTAAATGTTGATGAAGATAGGGAAGCTGTGATTTCGTGTATAGGGCAAGGAGGAATAACATCTTGTAGGAGTGAGGAAGAGCCAGTTTTGAGTGTGGGGGAAGTTCGTGAGGCAGTAGGTAAAATGAAAGGGGGTAAGGCAGCCGGGATTGATGGGATAAAGATAGAAATGTTAAAAGCAGGTGGGGATATAGTTTTGGAGTGGTTGGTGCAATTATTTAATAAATGTATGGAAGAGGAAGGTACCTAGGGATTGGCAGAGAGCATGCATAGTTCCTTTGTATAAAGGCAAAGGGGACAAAAGAGAGTGCAAAAATTATAGGGGGATAAGTCTGTTGAGTGTACCTGGTAAAGTGTATGGTAGAGTTATTATTGAAAGAATTAAAAGTAAGACTGAGAATAGGATAGCAGATGAACAAGGAGGCTTTAGGAAAGGTAGGGGGTGTGTGGACCAGGTGTTTACAGTGAAACATATAAGTGAACAGTATTTAGATAAGGCTATAGAGGTCTTTGTGGCATTTATGGATTTGGAAAAGGTGTATGACAGGGTGGATAGGGGGGCAATGTGGCAGATGTTGCAGGTGTATGGTGTAGGAGGTAGGTTACTGAAAGCAGTGAAGAGTTTTTACGAGGATAGTGAGGCTCAAGTTAGAGTACATAGGAAAGAGGGAAATTATTTCCCAGTAAAAGTAGGCCTAAGACAAGGATGTGTGATGTCACCGTGGTTGTTTAATATATTTATAGATGGGGTTGTAAGAGAAGTAAATGCGAGGGTCTTGACAAGAGGCGTGGAGTTAAAAGATAAAGAATCACACATAAAGTGGGAGTTGTCACAGTTGCTCTTTGCTGATGACACTGTGCTCTTGGGAGATTCTGAAGAGAAGTTGCAGAGATTGGTGGATGAATTTGGTAGGGTGTGCAAAAGAAGAAAATTAAAAGTGAACACAGGAAAGAGTAAGGTTATGAGGATAACAAAATATTAGGTGATGAAAGATTGGATATCAGATTGGAGGGAGAGAGTATGGAGGAGGTGAATGTATTCAGATATTTGGGAGTGGACGTGTCAGCGGATGGGTCTATGAAAGATGAGGTGAATCATAGAATTGATGAGGGGAAAAGGGTGAGTGGTGCACTTAGGAGTCTGTGGAGACAAAGAACTTTGTCCTTGGAGGCAAAGAGGGGAATGTATGAGAGTATAGTTTTACCAACACTCTTATATGGGTGTGAAGCATGGGTGATGAATGTTGCAGCGAGGAGAAGGCTGGAGGCAGTGGAGATGTCATGTCTGAGGGCAATGTGTGGTGTGAATATAATGCAGAGAATTCGTAGTTTGGAAGTTAGGAGGAGGTGCAGGATTACCAAAACTGTTGTCCAGAGGGCTGAGGAAGGGTTGTTGAGGTGGTTCGGACATGTAGAGAGAATGGAGCGAAACAGAATGACTTCAAGAGTGTATCAGTCTGTAGTGGAAGGAAGGCGGGGTAGGGGTCGGCCTAGGAAAGGTTGGAGGAAGGGGGTAAAGGAGGTTTTGTGTGCGAGGGGCTTGGACTTCCAGCAGGCGTGCGTGAGCGTGTTTGATAGGAGTGAATGGAGACGAATGGTTTTTAATACTTGACGTGCTGTTGGAGTGTGAGCAAAGTAACATTTATGAAGGGGTTCAGGGAAACCGGCAGGCCGGACTTGAGTCCTGGAGATGGTAAGTACAGTGCCTGCACTCTGAAGGAGGGGTGTTAATGTTGCAGTTTAAAAACTGTAGTGTAAAGCACCCTTCTGGCAAGACAGTGATGGAGTGAATGATGGTGAAAGTTTTTCTTTTTCGGGCCACCCTGCCTTGGTGGGAATCGGCCAGTGTGATAATAAAAAAAAAAAAAAAAAAATAATATAATAGTAAATGTTAACTGGAGCATAGTATTTGTGCTATAGAGACAAAACAACTATATTAGTATTGTTATTGAGAAGTTAGAAGTTGGGAATCAGGTTAGGTACCTGAGAATGGTGTTCAAATATGATAGTATACCTGGAGAGAGTTCTGGGGGTCAGCACCCCTGCGGCCCGGTCTGTGACCAGGCCTCATGTTGGATCAGGGCCTGACCAACCAGGTTGTTACTGCTGACCACACATAATCCAACGTACGAATCACAACGCGGCTGGTCAGGTACTGACTTTAGGTGTCTGTCCAGCGCCTGCTTGAAGACAGCCAGGGGTCTAGTGGTAATCCCCTTGATGTATGCTGGGAGGCAGTTGAACAGTCTTGGTTGTAGTTAAAAAAAAAGAAAAGACCCTGTGACTCAGTGGTAAACCATTTGTCTTAAATCTAAAAGGGAGTATGTTTGATTCCTGGGGTGCACGAGATGTGTGGGCAAGTCTCATTAGTAAAGGGAAAGAAATTAGCCCTAAATTGTGTAAGGACTTCTATATGGTAGGATTGATCCCTGTTGAAGTGTACTGCAAGGAAACTGATCTTGAGCACAAAGGTTGTTCCCCGAATATACTGTTACACCATATTTAAGAATTGGAAATTTTTTAAAAGCATATTTAGCATTAAAAGAATAAAGATGCGAGATGCTGGTGATTGAAGAGAAAAATTAAGGTAAATTTTGTGTTGGTATTGCTATGTAGAAGAGCAGATGGTGAGGACAATTGCAACAGTTTCAAGAGGCACAAGGATGAGATTACTATGGAAATGGTGATCAGATTGAAGATGTGCTGCAGAATTTATTGCTAACAGGATTATTATTTCTCATGACCAGTGAAAGTGTAATGAGACTCAAGAAATCGTAATGACACGATTGCAAACAAACCATACCCCCGGCCGGGATTGAACCCGCGGTCATAGAGTCTCAAAACTCCAGCCCGTCGCATTAGCCACTAGACCAGCTAGCCACAATAAGATTCATCCAACTAGGTATATTTCTACACCATAGGAAGGTTAGCACAGGCACCACTGTGACCACAAATGCAAGTTTTTACAGACGAATCTCCAGCTAGCATGGCCATGACGAACTCTAGCTCAAGTCCCTTCACTGCCGTCAACATGACTCAAGAAATCGTAATGACACGATTGCAAACAAACCAAACCATCGTGTCATTATGATTTCTTGAGTCATGTTGACGGCAGTGAAGGGACTTGAGCTAGAGTTCGTCATGGCCATGCTAGCTGGAGATTCGTCTGTAAAAACTTGCATTTGTGGTCACAGTGGTGCCTGTGCTAACCTTCCTATGGTGTAGAAATATACCTAGTTGGATGAATCTTATTGTGGCTAGCTGGTCTAGTGGCTAATGCGACGGGCTGGAGTTTTGAGACTCTATGACCGCGGGTTCAATCCCGGCCGGGGGTATGGTAAAGTGTAATGAGAATACAGTGGACCCCCGGTTAACGATATTTTTTCAATCCAGAAGTATGTTCAGGTGCCAGTACTGACCGAATTTGTTCCCATAAGGAATATTGTGAAGTAGATTAGTCCATTTCAGACCCCCAAACATACACGTTCAAACGCACTTACATAAATACACTTACATAATTGGTCGCATTCGGAGGTGATCGTTATGCGGGGGTCCACTGTAATTTGAATTGTAAACTCCAGAATTACTTTGTGGAAGAGTATGTAAGAGTAAATAGATGTGCAGGCCTTGCTTAACAAAAATTTTGAGCTGGGATTATTGGTATATCACTTGTGCAATCAGATGCCCATAAATATGCACAGCAAATACATCAAACAAAATTCATTTCCATCCATGGCAAATGAAAACTGTCCCAAAGTGAAAACAATTGTGTGTGTAAGTATAGGATAGCTTGAATGAGATGAGGAGCTCCATTATTTAACCCCCACCATTTTTGGGGAAAGGAGATACATATAGCTAATATGACCTATATGTATAGTTTTAACTTTCTTGTCCTTACACAATATTACATATGAGCTTTTATATATAACTTATTTCTGCTGAAATATTATTGTCATTTAACATATATTTCGGGAATGGAGGCTTTGGCGGGTTACACATCTTCTCCAAAGACCGTCGGGATGAAATTCTCAGGAAAGTTGAAGACAATGCTAAGAAATACATTGGTATTTCAATCCCAGCCAAAAAAGTTTGCATTACTCTTCAAAAAGCAATGGAAACTAGAGTAGGAAAATATAGGTAAGTTACATAAATCTTTCCTTGGATCATAATTTTTTTTTTTTTATTATCAACCGGCCGATTCCCCCCAAGGCAGGGTGGCCCGAAAAAGAAAAACTTTCACCATCATTCACTCCATCACTGTCTTGCCAGAAGGGTGCTTTACACTACAGTTTTAAACGGGCAACATTAACACCCCCCTTCAGAGTGAGGCACTGATTTTCCCTCTCCGGGACTCAAGCCCGGCCTCCGGGGTTTTCCCTAAACCCCTTTCAAAAATGTTACTTTGCTACACCCCAACAGCACGTCAAGTATTAAAAACCATTTGCCCCATTCACTCCTATAAACCCTCACGCATGCCTGCGGGAAGCCCAAAGCCCCGCACACAAAACCTCCTTTCCCCCCCTCCCCCCCAAACCCCTTCTAGGGACCCCTACCCCCCCTTTCCCTTTCCACTACAGACTGATACATCTTGAATCTTTCTTTTTCGCTCCATTCTCTCTACGTCCGAACCCCCTAAACCCCTTTTCCTCAGCCTCTGGACAACATTTTTGGGTAACCCCGCCCCTCCTCCAAACTTCCAAACTACGAATTTCTGTTTATATTCAACCACACATTGCCCTCAGACATGACATCCCCACTGCCCCCAGCCTTCCCCTGCTGCAAACATTATCACCCACGTTTCACCCCCTATAAGAGCGTTGGTAAAATATATCTCATACTTTCCCCCTCTTTCCCTCCAAGGACAAAGTTCTTTGTCTCCACAGACTCTAAGTGCACCACTCACTCTTTTTCCCTCATCATTTATGATTCACCTCACTTTATAGACCCACCCGCTGAACTCCACTCCCAAATATCTGAATAGTTCACCCCTCCATACTCTCCCCCTCAATCTGATATTAATTTTTCATCACCTAAATCTTTTTGTTATCCAAAACCCTTTCCCTTTTCCTGTATTCCCTTTTTAATTTTCTTTTTTTTGCACCCCTCCAAATTTAAACACCAATCTCTGCAACTTCTCTTAGAATCTCCCAAGAGACGTGTCATCAGCAAAGGGGGCCTGTGACAACTCCCCTTTGTGTGTGATTCTTTATCTTTTAATCCCCCCCTTTGCCAAGACCCTGCATTTACTTCTCTTAAACCCCCATCTATAAATATATTAAACAACCCCGGGGGGACTCACCATCCTTGTTAAGGCCTTTACGGGGAAAAAATCCCCTCTTCCTAATACTCTAATTTGACCCCTCACTATCCCGTAAAAACTTTCACTGCTTTCAGAACCTACCTCCTACCCATCCCTTTGAAACATCTGCCACTTTGCCCCCTATCCACCCTGTCATACGCTTTTCAAATCCTTTAAATCCACAAAGACCTCTTTAGCTTATCAAAATATTTTTTTCCTTATATTTTTCACGTAAACCCCGGGGTCCACAACCCCCTACCTTTCCTAAAGCCCCCTTGTTATCTGCTACCCTTTCCCGTCTTACTCTTAAATTCTTTAAATTAAACTTACCATACACTTTCCCAGGTACACTAAAAGATTTACCCCCCTATAATTTTTGCACCTTTTTATCCCTTTGCCTTTATACAAAGGAACATGCATGCTCTCTCCCCAATCCCTGGGTACCTTACCCTCAACTTTTTTAAATAATTGCACCAACCATCCAAAACTTACCCCCACTGCTTTTAACTTTTTATTTTTTCCTCAACCCCCGGCTCCCTTTACCCCCTTTCATTTTCCTACTGCCTCACAAACTCCCCCCCCCCTAAAAAAAGACCTTTCCCTCACCCCTACAAGATGTTTTCCCCCTTGCCCTATACCAAAAATCACGTTTCCCCTATCTTCATCAACATTTTTAAAAATTCCTCAAAATATTCCCCCATCTTCCAAACTCTAACTCTCCATTTAAAAACTCCCCCTCTCCTTTTTTAAATGACAAATCCTTTGTTCCTAGGCTTTCTTTAATTGTTAATCTCACTCCCAAAAATTTTTTTTTTTTCAACAAAATTGTTGATAAATCTCACCCACTCTCTCATTTGCTCTCTTTTTACATTTCTTCACCACTCTCTTAACTTCTCTTTTTTCTCCATTATCTTCCCCCCTTGCATACTTTACTTTGTAAAATTCTCATATGCTAAAATTTTTTCCCCTTTCTACTCTCTTTAAAATCATTCCCCAATCGCCTTTTCCCTCCTGCCCCCTTTCCTGTAACCCCAAACTTCTGTGAAACTCAAACTACATTTTAAAAAACCCACCCCAACCTCTTCGACCCCCCTTGCTATGCTTCATTTGGCCCCTCTATCCTCCAATACTGTTTATATCTTTCCCTAACTGCCCCCCTTTTAGTTTATAAAAACCCTTTTCCTCTTCTTCCCTGTGCTTTATTCTCCTTTTATCCCTCTACCTTTTTCTCGTGTAGCTACAACTAAAAGTGTCTGATATATCTTGGCCCCCCTTTAAAAAACATCCTGAAGTCCTTCAACAGTCTTTTCTACCAATACATAATCCCCCCAAAAAACTGTCATTTCGCCCACTATATCGTGTATATTATTTTCCTCTTTTTCTTAAAAATGTATTACCTATAAATAAACCCCTTTCTATCAAAGTTAATCAAGGGCTCCCCTTATCATTTACACCTGGGACCCCAAAATTACCTACCACCCCTCTCTAAAAAATTTCTCCTACTTTGCATTCAAGTCCCCCACCAAATTACTTCCCCACTTGGTTCAAAGGCTCTTTAAAAATTCCCTTAACATCTCCCAAAATCTCTCTTTCCCCTGCATTCCTCCTTCTCCGGTGCTACCGCTTATTTTTGACCCATTCTGCATCCAACCTTTACTTTAATCCCCAAATTCTTGAATTTACACATTCAATTCTCTTTTTCCTTCCTAAGTATTTGTCTTTTTAAAGGGATGAAAATACATGGTTATTAATGGTTTGTAGAGTTCTGTATTTCAGCTGAATATATTGCCCAACACTAGAAAGGGGGAAGACTTATTAGATAAACTAATGTTGATCAAAATGATGGTTCTTTAACCCCTTGTAAAAATGTACTGTCCAGGTTTCGGTTAGTTTTTTTCAGAATTTTGGTAAATATTACAAAAAATTTTTTTGAAAATAAAAAAAAGTTTTGGGGTGAGATTTAAAAAGTTTAAAAAAGCCCAGAGAACAAATGGATTTGTCAATTAAAAAAAGGAGAGGAGCGTTATTAAATGGAGAGTTAGAGGTATTGGGAAGATGGAAGGAATATTTTGAGGAATTGTTAAATGTTGATGAGATAGGGAAGCTGTGATTTCGTGTATAGGGCAAGGAGGAATAACATCTGTAGGAGTGAGGAAGAGCAGTTGTGAGTGTGGGGGAAGTTCGTGAGGCAGTAGGTAAAATGAAAGGGGGTAAGGCAGCCGGGATTGATGGGATAAAGATAGAAATGTTAAAAGCAGGTGGGGATATAGTTTTGGAGTGGTTGGTGCAATTATTTAATAAATGTATGGAAGAGGGTAAGGTACCTAGGGATTGGCAGAGAGCATGCATAGTTCCTTTGTATAAAGGCAAAGGGGATAAAAGAGAGTGCAAAAATTATAGGGGGATAAGTCTGTTGAGTGTACCTGGTAAAGTGTATGGTAGAGTTATAATTGAAAGAATTTAAGAGTAAGACGGAGAATAGGATAGCAGATGAACAAGGAGGCTTTGGGAAAGGTAGGGGGTGTGTGGACCAGGTGTTTACAGTGAAACATATAAGTGAACAGTATTTAGATAAGGCTAAAGAGGTCTTTGTGGCATTTATGGATTTGGAAAAGGCGTATGACAGGGTGGATAGGGGGGCAATGTGGCAGATGTTGCAAGTGTATGGTGTAGGAGGTAGGTTACTGAAAGCAGTGAAGAGTTTTTACGAGATAGTGAGGCTCAAGTTAGAGTATGTGGGAAAGAGGGAAATTTTTTCCAGTAAAAGTAGGCCTTAGACAAGGATGTGTGATGTCACCGTGGTTGTTTAATATATTTATAGATGGGGTTGTAAGAGAAGTAAATGCGAGGGTCTTGGCAAGAGGCGTGGAGTTAAAAGATAAAGAATCACACACAAGTGGGAGTTGTCACAGCTGCTCTTTGCTGATGACACTGTGCTCTTGGGAGATTCTGAAGAGAAGTTGCAGAGATTGGTGGATGAATTTGGTAGGGTGTGCAAAAGAAGAAAATAAAGGTGAATACAGGAAAGAGTAAGGTTATGAGGATAACAAAAAGATTAGGTGATGAAAGATTGAATATCAGATTGGAGGGAGAGAGTATGAGGAGGTGAACGTATTCAGATATTTGGGGTGGACGTGTCAGCGGATGGGTCTATGAAAGATGAGGTGAATCATAGAATTGATGAGGGAAAAAGAGTGAGTGGTGCACTTAGGAGTCCCGTGGAGACAAAGAACTTTGTCCTTGGAGGCAAAGAGGGGAATGTATGAGATATAGTTTTACCAACGCTCTTATATGGGTTTTGAAGCGTGGGTGATGAATGTTGCAGCGAGGAGAAGGCTGGAGGCAGTGGAGATGTCATGTCTGAGGGCAATGTGTGGTGTGAATATAATGCAGAGAATTCGTAGTTTGGAAGTTAGGAGGAGGTGCGGGATTACCAAAACTGTTGTCCAGAGGGGTGAGGAAGGGTTGTTGAGGTGGTTCGGACATGTAGAGAGAATGGAGCGAAACAGAATGACTTCAAGAGTGTATCAGTCTGTAGTGGAAGGAAGGCGGGGTAGGGGTCGGCCTAGGAAGGGTTGGAGGGAGGGGGTAAAGGAGGTTTTGTGTGCGAGGGGCTTGGACTTCCAGCAGGCATGCGTGAGCGTGTTTGATAGGAGTGAATGGAGACAAATGGTTTTTAATACTTGACGTGCTGTTGGAGTGTGAGCAAAGTAACATTTATGAAGGGATTCAGGGAAACCGGCAGGCCGGACTTGAGTCCTGGAGATGGGAAGTACAGTGCCTGCACTCTGAAGGAGGGGTGTTAATGTTGCAGTTTAAAAACTGTAGTGTAAAGCACCCTTCTGGCAAGACAGTGATGGAGTGAATGATGGTGAAAGTTTTTCTTTTTCGGGCCACCCTGCCTTGGTGGGAATCGGCCGGTGTGATAATAGAATAGAATAGAATTCATCGAAAGTTACAAATGATACTTTCCTTCTGGTTATTTACAAAATATTGATGATTGACAATAACTGTAATTTGAAAGAAAATATCTTGCCTCTGAATCTACTGAACTTCTATATTTTCAGTGGAGATGAACACATCACCTCTTTATGTGAATTTGTTGTTCACAAAGTAAGCCACAGACACTTGGATCCTGTTAAAAGAACCCTCTGTATTAGTGAGACATGCCTTATAGAACGGGATCCCAATTCCTATGCCATTGTTACGTTACGGCCCCTCTCGGATGTTTTTGCTCTAGTCCGACATCAAGAGAACCCACAAATGCTCACAGTAGAGTATGTTAGAGGTGGCAATCGAGTGTATACTTCCTCTGACAGGTGAGAAATCCTGTTTTTTTTTTGTGATGAGTTCTTTGCAATACATTATGTCATTGGATCTTTTGCAACTACATGTACTGTTAAATATTAATTTTTCCTTATGCAGCTGGTGTTTTGAATGTCATTCACTCATAAAAATAAGTGCCATTTGTGCTATTAGTCATCCTTGGTACCCCATTCTGTAGCATCCTGCAGTGTATAACAAGTTATATAAATCAAGTTAACTGATTTGATTGTAGCTGCAAATTTTCCATGGAGTACTGCACAGAAAGAATGGAAAAAGGAGCATGAATAAAATTTGTGAGTACAGACTGATTGGGATTTGAAGAATTGTCATTTCCAAACTGTGATGATTTATCAGATTATGTAGCTGGATCAATTACTATGTAAGATATGTACTGTATCTGGACTTTGAGGCTGTTATTTGTAACTAGCCACTAAATAGCAGAAGACTCAGATATAACATAGACAAAAGAGTGTGGCCTGCTCCAAAGTTTTACTGTCATAGCCACAACTTTGTTTGGAGTGGGAATTCCTTACTTTAGGGAAAAGGGAAAGAGTAGGTATACTGTAAGATGTTAACAAATAAAATTTTATGCTTAGTCTCTAGTGAAATATATTTTACATCATCTAATAAGCTAAACAAATTAAATAGATACTGTACTAGGAGTTATTGTAAAAAAATAAATCTGTAATATACAAACAATTTTGAATATTAAAAAAAAAAAATTATGTAAATCAGGGCTGCCACCTGCATGTGACTTTAGCTAGCTACATGCCAAATTATTCACTAAATATTTCTGTTTATTGTTTTTAATTTCTATTAGTCTCTCTTGATTCCAAATGAATAGGATAGGAATATTAAATGTTTCCTGGTTACTTATAGAAAAGAATTAATTTATCTTTATTTTCTCAGAGATTCATTATTAGCATCTCTTATTGATGGTGTGCGAGCATCCGGGAACTTGGATGTCCATGTGCGCATGACGCCAACATCACGAGGCAAGCGTCTAGGACCCCTTGAAGTACCAGTAGATGAGGAAGTGGAATCTATGCATCTAAAGTTTCTCCAACAGCCCCCACCTGGATGGTCATTTGCTGAGGCAATAGAACGATTCAATGCAAATGTCTCTTACTCGGGATTGCTTCATGCAGTCACAGGAGAGGTGTGTGTGTCTCTCTCTCTCTCTTATTTTAAGATGCATCTTATGTTGTGTACTTAAACCAATTTGTGGCTAGGTCCTTGATTTACTGGACTACTGTATGCATGGTTTTATTGCATGGATAATTTTGCATAATATTCTTTTGAACATTTCATGTCAAAATCTTTTAAGCTTTTCAGCTGATACAAGCCTTCAGACCTTTGCCAGTAAACTCTAAATGGCTAGTAAAGTTTATATTTAATACCTAGTAGTGAAGTATAGTGCAGAACATAAAGGTTTACTTATATTCAAAACATTAATCCTGCTTTGATTCAAATTGTATTGAGTTCTAAACAAATTTCTTTTGATATAGTTACAAAGGTTGTTTGGAGGGATATGTTGTGTATCTTTATACGTATATGCTTCTAGACTGTTGTATTCTGAGCACCTCTGCAAAAACAGTGATAATGTGCGAGTGTGGTGAAAGTGTTGAATGATGATGAAAGTATTTTCTTTTTGGGGATTTTCTTTCTTTTTTGGGTCACCCTGCCTCGGTGGGAGACGGCCGACTTGTTGAAAAAAACAAAAAAAAAACAAAACAAAGGTTGTTAAGGGTTTAGCATTTAATCTTGATTAGTAACATCAAGGAGGATATATTAAATGTTTTCCTAGTGAGTATTAATGCTATTCATACATTACCTAAAGAAGAGAATAGTTTTTTACGTCATGTTAATGTAGATAAATTGTATCTAAAAATTCTGAGTAGGGTGTAAGGAGGATATTTTCAACAATTAAATAATATTTAATGTTGTGATTTGCATTAAAATAGATTTTTATTTAACATTATTAGGGTCTTTTTGCGGAGAATAAGGAACGTCTTATCACTGGAGGTCTTGGTGCTCTGGTGCTACGAGAGGGAGACCAGATAACCCTTCCAGCGGAGGAGGTGGAGGCACAGTTCCACGCCCTCCGCAGGCTTGTAGCATCAAAAGCTGGGTTTGCATGTCTTACGTCACTCCCTGGGTTAGTTTTTTGTCTTTAAATTTGTATTTTTGCATATGATATTTCATAGTTATTCATTGTTTTAATTACTGTCATATAGTTTTCTTGCAACCATTCAGTAAAACTTCATTATAGTGAGCATCCATTAAATGGATTTCTAAGACAACAGATAAAAACCACTGAGTACAAAATTATCCATTTTTGTTACTTTGTGAAGTGACCTCTGTTATTAGGTTCTTGATGGTGATATAAGTATGGTAATGCAGTACCCATGAAATCTGCCCTACTAGAAAAACAGTGTATCGATCTAGAGTTCTACCTTTGATCTGCAGGAATGACCAGAAACTGGGTTTTAAAGTCTGCAGAAAATATACAGACCAGGATGACCTACTGCACTACAGTATCAAATTATATCTGTATTATAATAAGATCAAATTAAAAATATAATCAGTTTGAATGCCTAACTGCAGTAACTAATTTGTATGGCTCATGAGAAATAAAAATTTTAATTTTAATAATGCACTGAGAGAGAGGAGCCACAACAGGGATTTTGAGGACTGCAACACCATTGAGAATCTAGCAAAAAGAGGCACACAAAGCACAGTGACTCCAGTGCTGGTGTCTACACTTGGCTATGTGGGGATGTTATAGTTATAAACTTATGTTTCGTGGTGGAAATGTCTAGGAGACTATAACAAAGCATCAATGAGCACATATGTTCTTGTACTATATACCAGAACACTGACCAACCTCATGAAGTTCCAAGAAACTGAACTTGTCATCAGGGACTCAGACCTAAATTGCAGATGATATTTGCAATTGGCTCTCACTGCTACCACCAGTACCATCACTCGAAACACAGGCTTCTTAATAAACTCGAAAATACTGGCTAAACACATTCTACCTAAGCAGAATACTACAGCCATCACCTAAATTCTACCCACAGCTCATTCAGCATCTGACTTTACCTATTGCTTGTAAATATTCTGTTTCTTATTCTCATGATTGAAGTGATAAACTCCTGTTGGGCAAAACATCTCTTCAGTAAATATCCTAATATGAGGCGTTATCAAAAAGTTCCCTTTATTGAATTTTCATGTGATTCTTGTATGAAATATGGCAGTGACATAGGTCATGCTGCATAATACACTCCTTTGTGAAGTAGTGTGGAGAGTGTCAGTGCAGTCAGTCATTTTCTTGAGGTTAGATGGGCATTTTTTGCCATGTCAGTGTGTTGTATATGTAGATGAAGATTTATGTGTACTCACCTATATGTAGTTGCAGGGATCAAATCACAGCCCATGTGTGTGCTTGTGGGTAGGTTATTGTGATGTAGTATTTCACTTCATAATTTATATTATTTTTCCTCATGAACACATTCCAGCTTCCGAGAAAAAGTAGGTGTGAAGGTTGTGAAAGCTTTACAGAGGAATGATGATGGAGTGAATCATGCTGCCATTGATATGCTTTGTGCACTCATGCAACCAATGCATGACTATCCAGATCTAAAACAAGAACAACTTAACAAAGCCTCACTCCTCGCGTCAGCAAAATTCCAAGAAAAGCTTCTGGAAAATTGGGTTTTCCATGTGGTAGGTATGAGGGGACATTTATATAACCTCACTTATTTAGATAGGCCTTCATAAAAATTAGGCATTAAACTGGGACAGATGGCCGGTACATTGAAAAACAAAAAAATCAAATGTGCATAGTAGTATTTATGTTTTCCAATTTGTTAATGACAAATGATTGTTTTCCAAAAAAATTGTTTTCAGTATCTAACACCATGTACACTGCTTGTTAGGATAATAAGTGTTTTAATATGTTTTAGTACTTGAAATATGCAGAGATGCATAGCACTCCAAAGCCTCTTGCAAGTCATTTTAAATTGGCACAATTGTTTTTCTTACTTCTGTTGATTGTTTTTGTCCTCTTTACACTATGTACAAGAAACTCTTATTATAATTGTGTCAAGGTTTATTACTCCTGAAAACATGGAATTGAGCCACATTCTTTGAGTTATCTTTGATTAAATTCACAGTGTCTTTTTAAAGCTAAATTGCACTGTTATTATCATGAAATAGTAATAACTTTGCAACAAATAAAGCATCTTCCTGCCAGTTCCACAACCTTTTAAGGGTGACACTCCTCAAAACATGAATATAATTCAGTGTTTGACTTTATGGGATTATCTTTTAAGGGCTAAAAAAGACAAAGAGAACTTGAGGATGATGTTTTTCCTAGGTTCTTCACTGCCTCTTGACACCTTCTGGATGTACTGTAGACATTTAGAGTAATATATAAAATATGATAAATTAATTTGATGACTTAACATTTTTAAGACATAGAAAAATAAAATGCTGTAGTACAGGAATAAATGATTGCTAATGCAGGTCCTTTATCATAGTACCAAATACATACATTGTAAACCTCATCCCTGACTGGATATGAAATAATGCCAAATTGAAGTATCTCTGGTAACTGTTATACCTGTGGGCGCACACACACACAAATTACTTACATACTATGCGCTAATTCTTGCAGACACATGGGACTGGAGCACTTGTGGTGTCTGCTATGCTGGATTTCTTGACCTTTGCTCTCTGTGCTCCGTATAGTGAAACAACTGACGGAGCTCATTTTGATCGTTTGCTGGAGATGGTGGCAGACAATGGCAGGTCCCTTTACAGGCTTTTCCAGCATCCATCACTAGCTATTGTGAAAGTAAGAGTGATAAACATTTTTCTTTAAGTTTATACATTATAAAAGAATTTATTTAGGAAGCATGAATTACAGTAGAACTAGAAGATGGCTGTAGAAAGTGGACATAGGAAGAAATAAACCTCAAGAAAGACCTTAATGAGGTATGAAACTTGAAAAATTACAGAAGACTAAAGAGAATGCATTATTAAAGGACACGTTAAGGTGACCTATTTAAAAGAAGGTATAGTACAGTATATACAGAGGAAGACTGGGTTGGAGTTACTATGTAGGAGGAATAGTTATGCACTTATTAATTCTGTTTTGCAGTTCTGTAATGATATTCATATATGTATATTTTTAACAGTATATTTTTGTGTCTGTCTTATCATGCATTAAAATGGAAGAGGTACTTAGTATGTATCATAATATTTGCTGTGTACTTCATTATAGGGTGCAGGATTAGTAATGAAAGCTGTAATAGAAGAAGGTGAAAATGACATCCCCATGCGCATGCAGCTTCTAGCCCTGACTGAAGGAGCACTACCACGCCACCTGTTCACAGCACTCTTCACCCAAACGTCTGATGGGAGACTCCTAACACATCGACAGCTCTCACGCCACCTTGTTTCCCTTTGGGCTGCAGAGAATCAGCTTGCTATCGAGCTTCTAGGACGAACTGTGGTAAGAGAAAACTTGAGTTGCTCGAGTTGATTTCTTTGCAAACAATGTGCTTCATGATTGGTTACATCTGGCATAAGAATATAAAATATAAGGTGGAAACTGTTCATACCAAATTGGACAGGTTATTTTTGGTGTTAATTTCATGTTTCAAGACAGCCTCTTATGGTATATTTCCATATTGTTTTAATTGTAAACTGTGAGTTTGAACAAGTCTGTAGCTTCTCACTCCTGAATGTTTGAGAAAACCTAGTAATATGGACATTCATAAGAAAAAAGAAGTAAATTTTTATGGTCCTGAGAAATTCATTTAGCACATTTCCAAAAATATTTTTGTCTGGCTTATAAATTTGGGTCCACACAGCACACTAAAATAAAACTGGTGCTGCTTAGCTTGCAGCACTCAAAATGAGAACCAGCTGTAGATTATTTTATGAAATAATAGTATGTGAATTTCCAAGGTCCAGATTTATTTTTTTATATTTTATTGAATTTTTGCTTGAATGTCAGTATTAATTAGGTTGGAGCTACTGTATATATATAGACACATGGACATTGTTTTCTTATGAATTAAATGTAATAACAATGAATGTAAACTTTGTTTTAATATATGGAATGAATGAATTGATAAATTGTATTGGAAGAAATCAGCAGAGATCATACATTACTTGTAGTGTACTTTTAGAGGAAATACATCTTGTTAAAACTTGTATGCACATATGATTGAAGAATATAATAGTTCCCTATTTATTGAAAAGTAAAATGCTTTATTCATAGTAGACCCCCGGTTAACGATATTTTTTCACTCCAGAAGTATGTTCAGGTGCCAGTACTGACCAAATTTGTTCCCATAAGGAATATTGTGAAGTAGATTAGTCCATTTCAGACCCCCAAACATACACGTACAAACGCACTTACATAAATACACTTACGTAATTGATCGCATTCGGAGGTGATCGTTATGCGGGGGTCCACTGTATTTATAGTTATTCTTCATACACTGGCTGCCAAAACCCCTGAAGAGCCCTCTGATTCTAACTCTGTTAACCAAATCAAGTAAAAAACATGTTAGAAATGTGTAATACTTTTTTCTCTCCTGCAATGTATACATTGCAGCCACCAGGTCTTTTAGCTTTCCTTGGAAGTAAAGAGACTGTGTCGCTTGATGATATTGACCGATTGAACACCAGGGACAACTTGAAAATGGCAGAGGAGGATGAAGAAAGGAATAAAAAGAATCAAGTGTTGGAGACTTTAGACAGAGCATACAAGAGCTCTGTCAAAAAAGTTGAGCATTTGGTTGAAAGACACATGGATGTGAGTAGGACATTTTAATTCCTATCTTTAAAGGTCTCTTGGAGTTGCGAAAATGCACACTTGTTTTAAACTTGTATGTGTACATTGTGTTGCAACTCTATATTGTAGGCTTTTTTGTATATTTCTTTTGTTGTTGCTGTATAACTTGACATATACAGTTGCCTCACTCTGGACTTCACTAGTCCAGTGTTCATCATCTACTTTGGTCCTCTCTGCTGATTCTGTAGTCCTAGTCAGAAGAAATTATTGTTTGTTCATTCATAATGACTGTGAAGATACAGCAAGGATTGTTGTACAATTTTTAATTACAAACAAGTCCTTGTTAACTAACAATATTAAATGTGGTATTTATTATATGTAAATAGCAACTGTATATACTGACTGTATTTTGTTGAGCATATACATATATTATACTTTAGATGTATTTTTTTTTTTTTTTTAACAAATACAATTATACATATGCTGTGAATGTATTTGTTATGCATATGATGTCCTTTGTCTTCAGATGGATAAGTTATAGCTTAATGTTGATTAATTAGGACATCAGTTGGGCATTATGTATAAACTTAACATTTATTTATTGCAAAAATTAAAGCAATTTCTTTATGCTTGTGAATGATGAAGATTTAGTTGATGATAGTTTGTTTCTTTGTGCTATACATTGTGTTAAAAAAAATTGTGTCAAGTTTTGTATCTAACATCTGTGCCATATGATTCTACTTTACTTGATTGTGCAGAAAATAGAGACTGTGGAAAGACATTTACAAAAAGGAGCGAAGCACGTGGAAGCTTACTATGAGGCATACCTGGAAAAACACGTAGACGTAAGTACATGTTGCAACCAAGTCAAAAGTGGACAAAGGGCAGGAGATGTTGAAAGAAAAGTGTGTTGCAGGAAATGCCAGTCAGGAGCATGACTGTATTACAGGTAGTGTTTTACTCAGTGAAGAGCTCTTGCAAACCCTGTAGAACCTCTTCATCGAGCAAAATATTATCTATACAGTAATAAACATTTTGCTCAGGAACAATCTTTAGGTTCTGCAGAAGCTCTTCACTCAGTGATGCTGCTTCAGGTCTTGCTGAAGGTCTTCGCAAAGCGGATAGTGTGTCACTTAGTGACAAACCGTTTCAGGTTCTGCAGAAGCTTTTTGCTAAGCAGTGTTTCACTTAAGGATGAGCCGTTTCAGACTCATCAAAAGTTCTTTGTAGAGCCTGTGTTTTGTTCTGTGAAAGCTTTTGCAGAGCCTATCCTTCAGAGCATACAGTATTTGCTCACTGAAGACTACTTGTCATTAAGGTACTGCAGATGCACTTTACAGAACAAATCATTGCCTGTAAAACTTGCACTTGACTGGTGTTTCTTTAACACAGTCAAGTTTACTATGCACTAGAAATCGTAACTGGAATTAGCTTTTGCTGTGTTATGGTGAAGGCACTTGTGACTCATCCAGTAATAGACTACTGTATATACTCGAGTATAGGTCAAAGTGTAAAGACCAAGTTTTTAAGAATAAAGTAAGTGGTTGGTCTATTCATGAATAATAGTACTTTTTGGGAGGATGAAATCTTTATATATATGAAGGTCTGCCATGCACTAGATTCTTACTTCTTTGGTGCATCAAATGCAAAACCACATAACCCATCTTAAAAATACAAATTTAATAATATCCAGTAATGGTATAAAAAATATTTAGTGGTTTTATGCAGTGACTATTGCCTATAGAGTCAGCACTGGATCAGCAACCAAATTCCCCCAAGACCTTAGAAATCCACAGAGCTGAAACAAAGAGCTGATGTATGGTGCCCCAGTCAATTGTCCAGTGGACAGTATATGAGAACAAGCATCCCAGGGAGAGAATGGGGAAATTTGTTGGTGATGCTCAGGGCAGAGAAGAGCAAGATGTTCACACTCCACTCACACTGGAGATCACCCCCTTCCCCTTTTGTTTGTCACTGCTGGTCACTGCAGAGTTGCTAGATTTGTCACTGTTCCCACCCTTGAGACTAACCAAGATTTTGTCTCTTTTCAGCTGATAAATGTGAGATGAAAATAATGGTTGCATAAGATGATGGAAACAAATATTCTTTGGTTTATTATGATGGGGGAAGAGTGCTATAGGTATAGTAATTACATGGGAAGAGGAGAAAGAGGGCGTCACCTAATACAGTGACAACGATTAAAATGAATACCTGTACTAAACTTTATATTCGAGTGACAGTATGACCATCATGATCATAAGCTTTAGAACAGAGATGTGCTTTCAACTGAGGCTGAAAGCATAAAAAGATTTCTAAATCTTAAAAAGAGACACTGGTAACCTGTTATACAACCTAAAAGCTACATCAGAAAAGGCTTTTCCTGCAGTTGATTTCTCCCCAACAGCACAAAGTCCAGTCAGTCTGAAAGGGTCCACAGCAATTCGTAGAAACTTTACCGATGTAAAATGTACAAGTACGTATATCAGGAAGATATTTGGGTTCATTAAACTTCATTGCTTTAAATGTTAATAGAAAGGGTTTAAATTCATCTCTTGCAATAATAGGAAACTAATGCAGGTCATTCAAGTTGGATATAGTGGGAACTCCAGATGGGATCAAAAATACCAATCTACCTGCATGATTCAGCACAGACTGAGGTCTTTTAAGGAAGTAATTAGGCAAACCCATAAACAAACAATTGCAAAATCAATTTAAAAGTAAATAAATGTGTGGACAAGGACCAAGATACTTTGCATTTCAAGATATTTTTTGACTGCATAGAGAGCATAAATATGCAGATTTCAAGATTTAATACTTTGATTAATGTATATAACAAATGACACTGAAAAATCCAGATAGACCCAGATCCTTTACTAAATCCAAGAGGCTGCAAACTGACAGTACCACAACTGAAGGTACCAAAATCTCTAGTCTGTATCCTCCTCGAGATTTCCCCTGACAATTAGAATCTGTCCCACTTTTATTTAGTTTCTGTCTTGTATTTGTTATTGAAGTTTAAATATCCAGCAAAAGTGAACTAAAACATTGTTTTGCAACTTGGAAGTTCAAAACCAACCTCTGCTAAACAAAGGTGTTGGAAATGAGTAGGACCTGCTTGCTGCAGTGCCCATTGATTCATATATAATGGTTGACTGTGAGAAGGGCTTGCCTAGCATGGGCCAATAGGTTTGCTGCAGTGCTTCTTTATTCTTATTTTTATTAAGTATATAGGCTGAATCTTTTATTTGTTTTTTTCACAAATCTTGAGAAATTTTCAGCTCTGTTTTTATGTTGAAAGTACTAGGGTAGAATTATTTTTGAGATATGTAAAAAAAAAATTTTTTTTTTTTAGATTAAAAGTCAGGGGTCAACTTTTACACACTGTAGGTTATACTCGAGTATATATGGTAATCATTTTTTATTTGGTGAAAGCAATTTGAAATTTTAAAGAAAGAAAATTAACCTCTGCTTTTATTTGGTGGGTGAATTTATTACTTAAGCTATTAGTTTATTTTATCTGTGAGTTTTCACAAGTCGTGTAAATATTTCACTCAGTGAAACATTGTGTTCACATCTGATCTTCAGTCCCTGTTAGTCATGTACCCGTAGATCCTGTCTCTTGTGTTGAACACTTGTGAGTTGCATTCGTTACACAAACAACTGAAGCTTATTGAACTGTTGCAAAAGTCCATTCTGAGGTCCATTGTTTTGTTTCTTTATGGGTTTAGAATCGTCTTATGTTGGCTAAGGCTATACAGTGGTACCCTAAGTTTTGAATTGCTCCCAACTCAACCAGTTATGTAAGTGTAGTATTGTAAGTACTTTTGTAAATGTATTTTTGGGGGTCTGAAACAGACTAATCTAATTTACATTATTCCTCATAGGAACAAATTCATTCGGTAACGTCACTCGAACAGCCTTCTGGAACGAAGAAAGTTCGAAACTCAGGGTACCACTGCTGCATTTATTCAAAACTGACTAACAACTAAATTAAGTTTCTATTTGCCTTAAGGTAAATTCTCTTGTAGTATTGATGGGTAAGCTTCCTTTTTTTTTTTTTTTTTTTTTTTTTTTTGTAGTTCTAACACATTGCCCAATTCTTCCCAGTTAAGACAATGCTGCAACAAATGTATTATTGATGAAGGAAAAGCATTTTCTTTTTAAGTTTAGGTTTAACATTAAGAGAAATATCTTCACATTGTACTTGGAAGAGATGTTACTATAATAGTAATAAAAATAATAATAATAATAATAATGTAATGATTATAGTGATGATAATTATAAAAATTCAGTATGAGCCATATCTGCATGCTTCTGCAAAGACAGTGATTATGTGTGAATGATGGTAAAAGTGTTCCTTTCTTCAGGTCACCCTGCCTCAGTGGGAGATGGCCATTGTGTTAAAAAAAAAAATGCAGTACTATTCGTTTGTTATGATTTGATGGAAAAAATGGTTAAACAATGGTACAGTATTTTAGAATTGCTGAGTATGCACAGTATTTTGGGAAGAGTGTTAATACTTGTAAATATGACAATAAAAAATAAATACAGTAGTGACATAAACTTTGTTTAGATGAGCAAACGTCTGATCTCATATTTTTTGGCTAAATTTTTTTTTTATATTAAATGACAGGTAAAGACTGGAACAAGACAAATAATGTAATTAATGTCTTAGTAAAACATTAAAGAAGTGCTCATTCTTTTAAAACTCATCTCATTATGAAATCTTGAATCAATCAACTGATTTTCTATTTTTTTTTTTTTTTGTTTTTTGACACTGGCTGTCTCTGAGGCATGGTGACCAAAAAAAGAAACAAACACTTTCAGCATCATTCACACATAATCACTGCCTTTACAGAGGCATCCAGATATGACAGTTCAGATGTCACTCCAAACAACAAATATCCCAAACCCCTCCTTTAAAGTGCAGGCATTGTACCTCCCACCTCCAGGACTCAAGTTCCGCTAACTGGTTTCCCTGAATCCCTTCACAAAATATTGCCCTACTCACACTCCAACAGCTCATCAAGTTCCAAAAACATTCTTCTCCATTCACTCCTATCTAACACACACACATGCTTGCTGTTGTCCAGGCCCCTTGCACACAAAAACCTCTTTTACCCCCTCCTTCCATCCTTTCCTAGGATGACCCCTACCCCTCCTTCCCTCCACTACCAATTTATAAACCCTCCCAAGTTATCCTATTTTGCTCTGTCCTCTCTAAATGACCAAACCATCTCAACAACCCTTCCTCAGCCCTCTGAATAATACTTTTAGTAACTCCACATCTTCTAATTCTCACACTATGAATTCTCTTCATAATGTATTTACACCGCACATTGCTGTTAAACACTAATCTCCACTGCCTCCAGCCTCCTCCTTGCTACAACATTCTGAATATTTTATCTTAAATTTATGGCAAGGTTTTTTTTTTTTCCCCTGATGTGGAGTTATGTTTGAATTAATATAAAACCCTGGGTTACATTTTAAATGGGCTTTAACTATTCTTGTGGCCTATTACTAGATCTAATTACTTGTAAGATTAACTTCTTTAAAAGATAAAAGAGCGTATCTGGTGTATAGAAAGAAAATATTATTTGTAAATGAGCAATAAATTGTCACATTTCTTGGAGTTCATTAATGCACTCTAGTATGAATACTGTAGAATGTGATGTCATTCTTCCTCTTTGTGTAAGATAAAAGAATTAGCTTTTTATCCTCTTGCTGTTTATCAGAATTATTGCTCTCATTATTGGTATTATAGTCAAACAGTGCATATAAAAATATTGTTCTTATTTTCACTGAAATTACCAAGTTGAGTTTCCAAGAGAACGATTGAGTAAGCTCCAGTTCTTGACTCAGGTGATTGAATCCAGTTCTATCTAATCTTTAGCCCCTGTGCAGAGTCTGCTTCCACGGAGTCAATGCAGAAATACATGGATAAAATGTACAAATTAAGAGAACACTAGTTAGATATCAACGTCTCAGAGAATAATGGTAATGAATGGAAACAAAATTGCTTCTATATGTTTTACTGGGAGATAAGATCTCACTATGTTACACCTCATTCTTCCCTTTTGTTTTCTATATATGTTCTCTTTCATCTCGAATCAAAATCTTTGTAAGGCGAATTGTCATTTTGTGTATATGTTGCACAATATACTGTGCTGTACACTCCAGGTACACATATGTGCTCACCCATACTGGTCACACTTGTTACAGGTGTGTGCACCCACTCTGATACCTACATAAATGTAATGCTTGCAGCAGGCATAAAACCATGAAGTTAAAGTTCTAACTGATGCAGTTCTGAGACTATTCTGAGACAGTCATCTTTAACAACATTATCAGTTGATCATCATACAAATCATGGTTAGGAGATTTTTGTAATTAATCAATTATTAAGTGTACTTGTATCTGTTATACTTTAGAAAACATAATGCGGAGACAGATTTTTTTGGAAAACTCCTTTTCGGATTGCTGTTGCATTTTTTTGGTCATATAATTAATTTGTTAGATTAATTACTGTCATTCACTGTTTAGTAAAAAAAATTAATTCACTATCAATTAATGTCTTTTTATTTTTCACTCCCATACTTTATAAGCTCGTTAAATTCTTTGCTTTGTGTGTTGTCACTCTCACCTTCCTCTTTTTTGCTTTGCCAGGATTGGGTAAGTTTCTAGCATGTATACTAACACAATTAGTTTCAGTTATTGCAATACGTATACATTTTGGTACTGCAGTGCTTTGCAAGTTTTAGTAAGTGGTTGAACATGGTAATTGTTACTGAGTGTTGCTGTTTTAAGATATAATTCTGCCATTGTGTGAAATATCCTTCTTGAATGTTGCTGCTTCTGACTTTACCGTGCCTGATTACTGAAACACTGATTTGAGAAGCATACTCTTCAGTTACAACCATGTTGGATGATCAGAAAAGTAATAAGGATTTCAACAATTCTCACTCAATTTTTTTTTTTTTTTGTTTTACAACTATGTGCTCTCTTATTATTGTGTCAGTATTTCACTGTATATTAAATTACTGTAGCTTATCTGTATATATCTCTTCAGGATATAGCCTGACTTGACTGTAGTGCATGTTTTAAGCTTTTATGTATTGTCATAATTGGTTGCATTTGCTGAAAGTTTATGATATGTCATAGAATATTATGTTCAATACATTAAAAGTGACAAATTACATTATTCTAGTTACACCAAGACATGTGGGAGACGGCCGACTTGTTGAAAAAAAAAAAAAAATATATATATATATCAGTGTACAGTATTTGCCATGAAAGTTTACTTGTCCCCTTTTTAAGGGATTGAAGTTTTAATGTTAGTGTATAGGGAAATTACAGCCTTAATGACACTTTTTGATAGGCCTTAAATCTAGCAAACTAACATGTTATGTCTCGTGAAGGAGTCTTTAAAGTTATTCTTCGAATACTGTTATGATATTATTTTCAAACTTTTATATGCAAGAAGTAGTAAAGGTTTGCACCTGTATGTTGATCCTTTGTTAAACTTGCTCTGTATATTTTATGTTAGAGATCTAAAAATTCTGTGACTTTTGGAAATCTCATTTCTTTGTTATATTGTACTACGTATTTAATATACGTATAGTTATTTTATCTTATGAAATAAGCTTTTAAAATGGGGAATAGACTCATTCATCACAAAAAATACCTAATACTTAAAGTTATTGATTGTTCAGAAATGATTTAGGCATTCCTGAAATATAATTTGTATTAAACTGAAAGACTATAAAGTATTGCTTCCAATTTCATATTCTAACTCTGTATTTTGAAAGTAGTTTTAATAAATACTTGCAATGAGTGCTTTACTGAACACATTTCTCTAAATGCTAAGATACAGTGGACCCCCAGTTAACGATATTTTTTCACTCCAGAAGTATGTTCAGGTGCCAGTACTGACCGAATTTGTTCCCATAAGAAATATTGTGAAGTAGATTAGTCCATTTCAGACCCCCAAACATACACGTACAAACGCACTTACATAAATACACTTACATAATTGGTCGCATTCGGAGGTAATCGTTATGCGGGGGTCCATTGTATTTGCCTTCTCCCTCAGTATAGCGTGGTAGCACTCATTGTTTTATGACTACAAAATACAGTTTATAGTCATTTTACTTTCTTTCCACAGTAATGACTCAAGCAACAAATCACCAGGTCTTTCTTTTTATAATCACTAGGTTCATTTTATGTTTTATGAATAATCATTGTTAAAGACCTCTTTTGTATATACATTTCCCTCACTAGATTGTCTATACAATGTTGCAGGGGCGTTCACCCCCAAAATCATCTCTGGGTATACTCCAGTATACTCCAATATACATACATGTATACCCCTTCAACCTTCATATTCTCTACTAGAGACAGTTTCATCATACATACACTTCTTCATCCTTCATCATCATCTGTTGAGATGTTTCTGAGATACACTTCCACATCCTGGACTTCCTGTTACTCTTGAAGTCTTCCAGCTTTTGTTCCTCTGATCTCTGAAACTTCTTGTGCTCATACTTTCCACAAATATTTTCTCCTACTTGTTGCACCTGAAAAATGCATCTTTAATGCCATCATCTATTCTCTCCCCAGCACTTTATTCCTATTTATTTTCCATTTTCCTTCACCCAGCAAAATTCAAAAAAATTAATCCGTATATGAAGTATTTGTGCTGCGCTTTAAGCTTGTTTCATTATTCACTAAGCATTTCTTCAGTCACTTTTTTTTCTTTTTTACTCATCTCTTAATTTAATGATTTACAAATATTAACCTGTTGTAGCTAACTCATTTAAAATTTTCAGTTTGCTTTGCAACACTGGCGGTCTCGTATGAAGAGAGAGAAGTCAGCTGAAGAGAAATTTCGTGAACGACCTTTGGTGCTACGGAAAAGGAGAGAGAAACTCAAAGCAACTGCTAATTGGCCTCTCTTTTATTTCAAGTTCAATCAAGATCATTCACTTCCAAATCTAATATGGAATTACAAAGTAACTCAGATTTTTCAATGATCTGTTGGAAATTTAGAGATTCATATGTTATTGTGTAGAAAAATCTCAGAGATCAAGGCTTTTAGAATAGACAGTTTGGAGGGATATGTTGTGTATCTTTATACGTATATGCTTCTAAACTGTTGTATTCTGAGCACCTCTGCAAAAACAGTGATTATGTGTGAGTGTGGTGAAAGTGTTGAATGATGATGAAAGCATTTTCTTTTTGGGGATTTTCTTTCTTTTTTGGGTCACCCTGCCTCGGTGGGAGACGGCCAACTTGTTGAAAAAAAAAAAAAAAGTTATAAGACTTGGTTAAAAATGTGGTAGTACTGAATACTTCATAACTTGATTAGTGACTTTGCTCATTAAATTAAAAATAGCTATTATATATGTAATTAGATTATACGATACATTTAGGAGAACAAAAATGCTTCTTACTCCTTAATGGCATGATGGTAGCAAATTTATATGAAATGTTTATTCATTTTTAGCTATCCACATGACTTACTACATAGCTTCAGTCTATACAGTTTGTGCATGCATTACCATGTCAAGAATAAATTTCTGTTCATCCCACACCTATGTAAATCAGAAAAAAAAAAATTTGCACTACCCAAAATGGAATTTTAGCAAAACTGCAAGCGAGCCAACTCACCCTCTGTATTACTTACAGCCTGCTTTTATTTATCCTCTATTGCTAGGTGCTTTTTATATTACCTTTCTCATACTCTTTTTTTTAAATTTCCTTGCCAATAGATTGAATTAGTGCATTAATCTGCTTAAAATATAAACTGATAGCATTTACTGTATACACAAAAGAATTATATTTCTTACATTTTTTTTTTCTCTTCTTTAGACTAGAGAAGAATTACGGGTAGTGCTCGAAGCAGAAATGCGAGCCTTTAATGAAGACCGTGATGTTAGAGGAGGGATGGTCATAGCCTGGAATCACCATGAGTTTGAAGTAAGTTATTTTGCCCAGAACATTTAAATATGCTGTATGTGCATATGGATGTAGCATACACTAATGTATGTGCAATTGCACATACAGGAAGGACATAGGAAAGCACTGGTTTGGTAATAGAGTTGTGGATGAGTGGAACAAACTCCTGAGTACTGTCATAGAAGCTAAGACCTTGTGTAGTTTTAAAAATAGGTTGGATAAATACATGAGTGGGTGTGGGTGGGTGTGAGTTGGACCCGACTAGCTTGTGCTACCAGATTTGGTGCCATGCTCCTTTAAGTGTAAGTGACCTGACTAGGTGGTCATTGTTCTAGGCCGGGGGGTGGCATGGACCTGCTTCGCATGGGTCAGTAGGCCTGCTGCAGTGTTCCTTCTTTCTTATGTGCAATTGCAATTTATGTTTGAACCTTTGTATGGTTCAATTTCTGCTGTTGTGTAGCTCATTCCACTTATTTAATACTCTTTCATTGAATAAGAGTTTCTTGAAAGTTTGTAACTTATTGCAGTGTTCATTCATATCTTTTTCTATAGTTTTCTTTGTTAATGAGAATATCTTTGTCTTCCGTATATGGAGTATTTTGTATCATGATACACTATGATAGTACAGTATTTTGCTGGGTCCATTTGCCTTTCATATGCTAAATTTATTCAGAAGGATTTATTACTTCCTCACTCATCAGTGCTTATGTGTTCCAGGAATATCTTTGTTGCTGAGTGAAGCAGCTTGGCTCTACCTATCCTAGTTTCTTTCTCAGCACTTGAAATCAATTGCTGTCTTCCAAAATGTGTGTGCTAACATTTGCAGCTAAGATGCCCATCTGACCTGCAACATACCTCCCCCTCTTTCACAGTGCAGGCACTGTACTTCCACCTCCAGCACTCACAACCTGTTTTACCCTCTCCCTCCAGCTCTTCCTGGGACTTTCCTGGGCATTATAGTCTTCAATTGCTTTTTCTTCAAATCTTCATTTCTTTCTCATTATCAGGGCTGTGCCTTCTCTTCTGCCACTTCCCTACTTAGTATATTGGTAGTTTATGGGAGGATTTAATTTGTGTGTGTAAATTGTTCTTGTTAAGCATTATCAAGTTTGAATATCATACAAAAAAACATGAAAATTTCAGTCATAAAAAAAGATTGATGTTTACAATCAGTGAATAAGAGCATAATTTCCTTTTAGAGTTACTGGCTTGGGTTGTAAATTGTTTTTAAAACTTTTCCAATCTTTACAGGTTAGCTATCCATCACTGAAGGATGAAATCAAGATTGGTGACTACTATCTTAGGATCTTACTAGAGCAGGAGAATAATGCTTCAGAGGAAGAGTCGCCCATTAGAAAATCGTACGTGAAACCTTAGCTGTGTTTTCACACTCCAAAGCATGTTGGCCACTATTTTCATTATACTTTACAGGGTTCCATTTTTTAATGATAAAAACAGCTGGTCACAGCCAGCAGATTTTTGTAATTCTTGAAATTTTGATAGCTTTTCGAGATGGGACTGTGGCCTACATAGACAGCCACAGTGTTTATTTATTTGTTTATTTATTAATTTGAACATGATACATTGAAGTACAAGGAAATACAGTGGTTAAGTGTAACATGCCAAAGCCCCTTGTATGCAGATCATTATGGGCAGGCTTAAAATGTATCATATAGTGACACCCTACTATTTTAAAGTTAGGAGTATGAAGTTATTTTTCATTGTTCATACAGTAATAAGTTTAATAAAAACTTTATATAAACTTACTTTCATGCATTGTAGTGAAATAATGAGTTTGACTTGAATAAGATTCATGTTTACAATTCCTCCTTAGGTATGAGTTCTTCAATGATCTTTACCACCGGTTCCTTTTGACCCCCAAAGTGGCTATGAAGTGCCTCTGTTTGCAAGCTATGGCACTTGTGTATGGCCTGCACCACAAAGACATTAAACAGTTCAATGACACCCGCTATATTGTCACCATGCTGTCTCGCACCTGTGATAAACTAGAGAGGGACAGATTGCTCCTCTTCTTGAATAAGGTGATCATTATTATGCACATGTTTTATAATAATAATAATATAGTTGGTAGAATTACCGACAATATGTAAAGTAAAAGGACACAAGTGCAACTAATGTGACATTTATTGTGGCAACGTTTCGCTCTCCAGGAGCTTTATCAAGCCATTGGTAATGGCTTGATAAAGCTCCTGGAGAGCAAAACGTTGCCACAATAAATGTCACATTAGTTGCACTTGTGTCCTTTTACTTTACAATAATAATATAGTTATGCAGAGCATTTCGGGCAAACTTAAGCCTGACTTAAGACTAAAATGCCAATAACTAATATTAATAGTTGTCTCCTAAACTGCAGTGTAGTGGGTCCTTTTGTCATGGTGCTAATAACAATAAAAAAAATTCCTCATTGTACATAGATCTTACATTTACAGTCCAGTAATTATAATGGAGTAGTTGGTCCAATTATTTATAAATGTATGGAATGAGGGTAAGGTACCTAGGATGGCAGCAGAGAGCATGCATAATTCATAGTTCTTGTATAATGCAAAGGGGAAAAAGAGAGTGCAAAAATTATAGGGGGACAAAAGTCTGTTGAGTCTTATTACCTGGTAAGTGTATGGTAGAGTTATTATGAAAGAATTAAAAGTAGAGGAGGAATAGGGATAGCAGATGTAAACAAGGAGGCTTAGGAAAGGTAGGGGTGTGTGGACCAGGTGTTTACAGTTGGAAACATTTAAGATGAACAGTATTAGATAAGGTAAAGAGGTCTTTGTGCATTTATGGATTTGTGAAAAGGCGTTATGACAGGGTGGATAGGGGGGCAATGTGAGATGTTGAGGTGTTGGTGTAGGAGGTGGTTAATGAAAGCCAAAGTGAGGAGTTTTTACGAGGATAGTTGAGGCTCAAGCTTAGAGTACATAGGAAAGAGGGAAATTATTTCCCAGGTAAAGTAGGCCTTAGACAAGGATTGTGTTGATGTCACGTGGTTGTTAATATATTTATAGAATGGGGTTGTAAGAGAAAGTAAATGCGAGGGTCTTGACAAGAGGCGGTGGGAGTTAAAAGATAATGAATCAAACAGTAAAGTGGGTGTTGATCCACAGTGCTCTTTGTGATGACACTGTGCTCTTGGGAGATTCTAAGAAGAAGTTGCAGAGATGGAGGTCTGAATTTGGTTGGGTGTGCAAAAGAAGAAAATTAAAAGTGAATTCAGGAAAGAGTTTAGGTTATGATGGATAACAAAAATATTAGGGATGAAAGATTGAATACTCAGATTGGAGGGAGGAGTATGGAGGAGGTGAATGTATTCAGATATTTGGGAGTTGACGTGTCAGCGGTGGGTCTATGAAAAAGATGAGTGAATCATAGAATTGAATGAGGGGGAAAAGGGGAGTTGGTGACACTTAGGAAGTCTGAGGAGACAACGAACTTTGTCCTTGAGGCAAAGAGGGGAAAGTTGGAGAGTATAGTTTTACCAACACTCTATTTGGGTGTGAAGCATGGTGTGAGATGTGCAGCGAGGAGAAGGCTGGCAGCAGTGGTGATGTATGTCTGAGGGCAATGTGTGGTTGTGTATATAATGCTCGAGAATTCGTAGTTTGGAAGTTGGAGGAGGTGCGGGAATTACCAAAACTGTTGTCCAGAGGGCTGAGAAGGGTTGTTGAGGTGGTTCGGACATGTAGAGAGATTGGAGCGAACAGAATGACTTCAAGAGTGTATCAGTCTGTAGTGGAAAGGAGGTGGGGTAGGGGTCGGCCTAGGATAGGTTGGAGGGAGGGGGTAAGTAAAGGAGGTTTTGTGTGCGAGGGGCTGGATTAGCAGGCTTGCTGTGAGCGTGTTTGATAGGAGTGAATGGAGACGAATGGTTTTTAATACTTGACGTGCTGTTGGAGTGTGAGCAAAGTAACATTTATGAAGGGGTTCAGGGAAACCGGCAGGCCGGACTTGAGTCCTGGAGATGGGAAGTACAGTGCCTGCACTCTGAAGGAGGGGTGTTAATGTTGCAGTTTAAAAACTGTAGTGTAAAGCACCCTTCTGGCAAGACAGTGATGGAGTGAATGATGGTGAAAGTTTTTCTTTTTCGGGCCACCCTGCCTTGGTGGGAATCGGCCAGTGTGATAATAAAAAATAATAAATAATTATAATGGGCTGCCATTAGCAATAAGACTAAAAAAGCAGTTGATTCTGTTTAAAGGGTTAATTCATAGAGAAGAAAATACAGGCTGGAAATAAGAAAATATTAAAAAATGTTACAAGAAAGTAGAGTAAGAAAGATTGCTGAAGTATAACAGGAAAATACACAACAGCTGACAAGTTGCAGCTTAATGTGATGATATTCAATGAAAGATTGAATATCATGTTGGAGGGAAGGAGTTTGGAGGAAATAAACGTGTTCGGATATATGGGAGTAGATGTCAGCAGATGGGTTGACCATAGAAACGTGTTCAGATATTTGGGAGTAGATGTCAGCAGATGGGCTGACCTTAGAATAGGTGAAGGGTAAAAGGCAAGTGACGTATTGTGACATTTGTAGAAAGAAGTTTATCTATGGAGGCAAAAGGGGGAATATAACACAATATGGTATACCAACACTTTCATATTGGTGAGAATGGAATGTTCCAGGAGAGACAAGGCTAGAGGCAGTGTAAGATCATCAGAGGTATAATTCAGAGGGGTTAGGAGGTATGTTGAGATTGTTTGAGCATTTAGAGAGGATGGAGAGGTACAGGATGATAAAAAAGGTGTATTATTCTGGGGGTGGAAGGAAGGAATGGGTAAAGAAGCTTTTGAGTGCTAGAGGCTTGAGCATCTAACAGGCTTGTGTGAGTATTTTGGATCACTGAGTGGAGACAAGTGATATTTAATGCTTAACATGCTGTTGGAGTGTCAGAAAGGTGACATTTATGAAGGGCTTTTAAACTCTGGAAGTAGGAAGGGCAGTGCCTAAATTCTGAAGGAGGGTTGGGGATGCTATAGGGTCATCTAAATTTTGATGTATGCACACTTCTGACAAGACAGCAAGACGTGTTTCCTGTTTTTTGGGTCATTGTATCTTGGTGGGAGATGGCTGTTGAGGTAATAAAAAAAATTTTTANCAAGGGGGGGATAGATTCAATCGTATTGTACAATTTTGGAAAAAATTATAGTGTATAGCATTGCAAACAGTACTAAGATACTCGTAGTCCAGGAATAAGAGTAGCAGCATTTAATAATAGGATATTGAGGATTTACTGTAATGCTGAAACTACAGTACTATATTATATTATATTATAATTCAACTTTAAATATCTGTATGCAACTTATAAATACAAAACTCTTAATTTTAAAGTTGTTAATTTTTATATCTGCTTTATGTAGTTAACCAGGAAGTAAAAGGTGGTGCTTTCACTTTTATGATGTAAATTAGTTAAAAACAACTTTTCTTTTCATCTACAGTTAATATTAGAAAAGTCCAATGTACGGGAAATTGTTGAAGCAGGTGGTGTACGCATCCTCTCCGACCTACTGACTCTAGCTCACCTCCACATCAGTCGTGCAGTCATGCCAACACGGACCAATGTTATTGAGGCCTCACCTGACATGGCACGAGACTCAGAGAAGGAGTGGTATTATCAGGTGAAATATATTCAGTTGATGTGACGGGTTAGTCTCATTTTGTTTCTCGTAATGATAGGTATGCACTAGGGATGTGCTAAGGTGTCGGTATTGGCAGGTATCAGCCATTTTTATAGAATTAGTATCAGTACCAGTGAAGAAATGGCCAATTCATGCCAGTACTTTTAAAATATTAATATTTCATGTGTGCTTAAAAATATCAAAATAAACACACACACATAAACACACCAAACACATACACCATACACACACATACCATCACACATACCTGCTAAAACCATGCAACATAACCATACTACACATACCATGCACCACATACCATGCACCAAATAATGCAACACCCAAAACACACAACCTGCACACACCCTACACACACAAAACCATCACACACCTTACCCTATACACTACATCCGTTACACACACATCCATATACACAACATACATTAATACAACAAACCATATTCCACACTACCCTATTCCAAAACAATTTCCTTTAAAAACACATACCATATAACACACATACCATTAACAACACTACCATAACAACAATACCCTTTAAAAACACAATACCCAAAAAAACACACACACCATACACACCCTTACACCTCATACCCTCACACCCTAACACCCCCACACCCTACACATACCCGGAGTTTTTCCGGAGAGAGTTCCGGGGGCAACGCCCCCCCCCCCCGGGGGGGGGGGGGGGGGGGGGGGCCCCCACCCCCGGGGGCTCCCCCCAACGGGGGCCACAGCCCCCGGTGTCAGGAACCGCTTTTGGTGTTGCCCCCCGTGCCAGTTGAAGACTTAGGGGTCTGTTGGTAATCCCCTTTGTAAAGCTGGGAGGCAGTTGAAAAAGTCTGGGGGCCCCCGACACTTATTGTATGGTTTTCTTTAACGTGTAGTGACACCCCTGCTTTTTTATTGGGGGGGTGTTCTCGTCTGCCAAGTCTTTTGCTTTCGTTTGGAGTGATTTTCGTGTGCAAGTTTGGGACTAGTCCCTTAGGGTTTCCAGGGTATAAATCATGTATTCTCCCCCTGCATTCCAGGGGGGCAGGTTCAGGAACCAACGCTCCCAGTAATTGAGGTGTTTTATCTCCGTTAGGTGCCGTAAAAGGTTTCTGTACATTTTCTAGGTAGAAATTTCACCTCCTTGAAAGGTGCTGTTTGTGCAGCAATATTCCAGCCTAGATAGAACAATGACCTGAAGAGTGTCATCATGGGCTTGGCACCCCTCGTTTTGAAGGTTTTCTTATCCACCTGTCATTTTTCAGCAGATGCGATCGATACAATGTTTTTGGTCCTTGAAGGTGAGATCCTCCCCAAAATCACTCCCAGGGCTTTGACGTTGGGTTTGCTCTATTTGTGGCCCGAAATGTTTTTTTACTCTGATGAAGATTTTAAATTTTTTCGTTTTCCCCTATTGAGTAATTGAAATTTTCATCGTTAAACTTCATATTTTTTTCTGCAGCCCCCTGAAAAGTTTGGTTGATGTCCGCCTGGATCCTTGCAGTGTCTGCAATGGAAGACACTGTCATGCAGTTTTCGGGGGTCATCTGCAAAGGAAGACACGGTGCTGTGGCTGACATCCTTGTCTATGTCGATTTTGAGGATGGGAACAAGATGGGAGCGAGTACTGGGGCCTTGTGGAACAGAGTTTTTTCACCGTGCTGCCTCGGACTTTACTCTGTTGACTACTACTCTCTGTGTTCTGTTAGTGAGGAAATTATAGATCATCGACCAACTTTTCCTGTTATTCCTTTAGCCCCACATTTTGTGCGCTATTATGCCATGGTCACACTTGTGGGAAGGCTTTTGAAAAGTCTGTATATATTACATCTGCTTTCTTTTTGTCTTCTAGTGCATCTAGGACCTTGTCGTAGTGATCCAATAGTTGAGACAGACAGGAGCGACCTGTTCTAAACCCATGTTGCCCGGGGTTTGTGTAACTGATGGGTTTCTAGATGGGTGGTGATCTTGTTCTTAGGACTCTTTCAAAGTTTTTTATGATATGGGATGTTAGTGCTTCGGTCTGTAGTTCTTTGCTGTTGCTTTACTGCCCCTTTGTGGAGTGGGGCTATGTCTGTTGTTTTTAGTAACTGTGGGCGACCCCCGTGTCCTTGCTCCCTCTCCATAGGATGGTAAAGGCTCATGATAGGGCTTCTTGCAGTTCTTGATGAACACGGGTTCCTTTAGTCTGGCCCTGGGGCAGAGTGCATGGGCATGTTCATTTATCGCCTGTTCGAAGTCATTTGGCGTCAGGATAACATCAGATAGGCTTGTGTTAACCAAATTCTGTGGCCTCTCATAAAAAATTCATTTTGATCTTCGACTCTCAGTTGGTTAGTGGCTTGCTAAAAAAATGAGTCATATTGGGACTTGAGTAGCTCAAATCATTTCCCTTTCTGTCATCTGTGTAGGACCCCTCTTGTTTTAAATAAAGGGCCCAATACTGGACGTTGTTCTCGACTTTGTTTGGCATAGGAGAGAAATACTTTGGGTTTCTTTCGATTTCATTTATGGCTTTTAGTTCTTCCCGCGATTCCTGACTCCTGTAAGATTCCTTTAGCTTAAGTTCGATGTTTGCTATTTCTCTGACCAGTGTCTCCCTACGCATTTCAGATAGATTGACCTCTTTTAGCCGCTCTGTTATTCTTTTCCGTCGCCTGTAAAGAGAGCGCTTGTCTCTTTCTATTTTACATCTACTCCTCCTTTTTCTCTGAGGAATAAGTCTTGTACATACATCGAGTGCCACCAAGTTAATCTGTTCTAGGCATAAGTTGGGGTCTGTGTTGCTTAGTATATCTTCCCAGCTTATATCAGTTAGGACTTGGTTTACTTGGTCCCACTTTATGTTTTTGTTATTGAAGTTGAATTTGGTGAATGCTCCCTCGTGACTAATCTCATTATGTCGGTCTGGGGCTCTGCGCATACGTGTCTGAACCTCAATTATGTTGTGATCTGAGTATATTGTTTTTGATATGGTGACTTTTCTTATCAGATCTTTCATTTTTTAGTGAAGATGAGGTCTAGTGTATTCTCCATTCTAGAAAGGCTCTATTATTTGCTGGTTTAAATTAAATTTTTGTGCAGAGATTTAAAAGCTCGTGTGAGTGTGAATTTTCATCAGAGCTGCCTCCTGGTGTTATTACTGCAACAATATTATTTGCTATATTCCTCCATTTTAGGTGCCTTAAGTTGAAATCCCCCAGGAGCAGATGTTGGGTGCAGGAAAGCTGGAAGATTTTCCAGACAGTGGTCAATTTTTAACAGCTGTTCCTGGAATTGCTGGGATGTTGCACCCGGAGGCTTGTAGACTACCACAATGACTAGGTTTTGGTTTTTGACCTTTACTGCTAAAATTTTCCACTACATCATTTGAGGCATTAAGCAGTTCTGTGCAAACAAGTGACTGCAATGTACAGGCCAACCCCCCCCCCCTTTTGCCTGTTCACTCTGTCACATCTGTATAGGTTGTAACCTGGGATCCATATTTCGTTGTCTAAGTGATCCTTTATGTGGGTCTCAGTGAAAGCCGCGAACATTGCCTTTGCCTCTGCAAGCAGTCCAGGAAATGAAAGGTATTTTGTTGTTTGTTGCTGGCTTTAGACCCTGTATATTTGAAAAGAAGAATGTCATTGGACTGGTGGTATTGTTGGTACTGGGGGGGGATTTTTTTTCCGGCATTATTTATCTGTATCTGTTGGTTTGGAGTGGAGGCCATTGACTGTGGTTCCACTCCGGAATGACTGGATTTGGTGTACAATTTCTGCCATTTCCTGCCAGTTTTTTTCCTTCCTGGCAAAAAAAACCCTTTCTCCCTCTTGAGGGGCTGGGGCTACCCAGTTTTCCCATGGCCTGGATGTTTTGTATCTTTTTGTCCCCTTTAGATGGTATGCCTGGCAATTTAAGTTATAGCATAGTCTTTCCTGAAACTGAAGAGGTACACACACAACACCATATGTGCACACACACACCCATACACCACACACCATACACACACACACACCATACACACACACACCATACACACACACACCATAACACACACACCATACAACACCCATACACACCCCCACACAAAATACACACACACACCATACACACCCCACACCATACACACACACCATACACACACACCATACCACACACCATACACACACCAACACACACACACCAACACACACACACCAACACACACACCCCAAAACACACACCAACACACACACACCAACACACACACACCAACACAAACCCCAACCAACACACACACACCAACACACACACACCAACACACCACAAAACCACACCACACACCAACACACACACACCAACACACACACACCAACACACACACACCAACACACACCACCAACACACACACACCAACACACACACACCAACACACACACACCAACACACAACACCAACACACACACACCAACACACACACACACACACACACACACACACACACAGAGTAGTCAGTAAGTGGAATATTTTGGGGAAAAGCGATGTAGTGGAGGCAGGATCCATACATAGCTTTCAGCAGAGGTATGATAAGCTCACGGCTCAGGGAGAGTGACCTAGTAGCGATCAGTGAAGAGGCGGGGCCAGGAGCTCGGACTTGACCCCCGCAACCTCAACTAGGTGAGTACAATAGGTGAGTACATATACAGGTTTTCCCACCCCTTCCTGTGAAGTGACCCTCTAACCCTTCCTTTCCCCCCCCATCTCTCTCTCTTTTTCTCTCTCTCTCTGTCTCTGTCTCTCTCTGTCTCTCTCTGTCTCTTTCTCTTCTGTCTCTCTCTGTTCCTCTCTCTGTCTCTCTCTGTCTCTCTCTGTCTCTCTCTGTATCTCTCTGTCTCTCTTCTCTCTCTCTCTCTCTCTCTCTCTCTCTCTCTGTCTCTCTCTCTGTCTCTCTCTCTGTCTCTCTCTCTCTCTCTCTCTGTCTCTCTCTCTGTCTCTCTCTTCTCTCTCTCTCTCTCTCTCTCTCTCTCTCTCTTCTCTCTCTCTCCTCT